TTTTTTGTTGTTGCTGAAACTAGATTTACTCAAGTTATTATGATGTTAAGAAAAATCAAATAAATTAAAAATGCATTTCAAGCACTGGTGATTAGCGAAAGATGGTCATGTTATTGTGAGGATGATGTGGGAAAGTCAAAATATGTGAAGGAGAAAATACTTGATGATATTTGGTGGGATAATGTTGAATATATTCTATATTTTATCAATCATATTTATCATATGTTTTGAGTTGCAGATACAGGTAACCCGTGCTTTCACTTGATTTATGAGATCATGAATAAAATTTTATGCGAAGTGAAAGAAGAAATATATAAATATGATAGAAATGCAAATGATGATGACTCAAGCTTCTGGAGTGTTATTGATATAATTTTGGAAGATAGGTTGTGTAGAAGTAGAACACCCTTACATTGCTTAACTCATTCTTTAAATTCAAGGTAAGTTTTATTGTTTTCACTTCCTAGTTTACTTTTATTTCATTAAGTTAGAATCATCAAAATCTAAATTTTTGTTTTGCTTTTTACATTCTTGAAAGATATTCAAGTAAGGAATGACTCGAGAAGAATCCTCAATGTGTTTCCCCTTAAAGGATTTGGTAATTTTAAATATGAGAAAAGTTTGTTTGAAGAGACATTTCCCAAATGATAAGAAGTGAAGATAGATAAATGTCAAGTTAGCTAAGTTTTTTAGATATTTTGATGAATTTGGATATCAAGTGTCTTTACCTGATAGGTGGAAGATGGAACTAATGATGTGGTGGTGATTCTTGGAGTTTTAACGCCTTTACTTCAATCTAATGCCATAAAACATCTTCAGCAAGTTTCCTGCTCATTTTCTGAGAGAAATTAGAGCACTTATTCATAAAATCAATAGAGGTACAAAATAAATCCACAACGAGCTAATGATTTACTTTATGTGCATACTAACCTTTGTTTGTTATTAAGAAAGGCTCCAAATTATATGAGAGGTAATGAGAAGATGCGGGATGCTACATGAGATGGATTTGAGACCCTCCACTATACAAGAATTTCAAAAATTGCAAACATTTCTCATAATGAGTTAGGGTTGGAATCTATGATATTTAATGATGATTAATTGTTGGTAGTCGATGTGAGGTAGAGGTACATGCCAAAAAAATTGTTCTTCCTTTAACTTCTTTTATTGAATTTGTTAATTAAGAGGAGTTAAATTTTGATGCAATACAAGACAATATACGCTCTTAAGCTTATATTTTGACTGTCATAAGCTAAAGAATTATCTATGGGCATCTTAGTTTTTCAAAGTCTATTTTATTAAATTTCTCTTTTATTTATTTAATTTATACCCTATTTTTTATAACTTTTATTATAATGACGTGTTTGCCACTTGTCAATGTCCTATTTTTTCAATAATAGACGTGCATTGTGTCCATGTCTTCGTGTCCTTATCTATGCAACATAGTCCATGAGAGACTTGGTTTCTTAAGATTTAAGTTTCAACACTTATGATAGATATCAACCATTCATGGCAATGGCTATAACAAAAGATTCCTATTTCATTCGAAGAAGTCTTGCCAAAATACATTCAATGATATTAAAATTAAGCTTTAAAATTTTTAACATTGACATCTCCAATTTTGGGAAAGCTTTTGATTTTGTATATATAATCTTGACAAATCAGTAGAGGCTTTGATAGCCCAAGTACATCCATAGGATAGAAAAAATGTTTTTGCACGGGAGAGGAATTATGTGCAGATGTATCCTCTATGAATAAAACAAAGGTTGAGTGTTTTAGCCAACTAGAGGAGGAGAATGCAGTGCCATGTTATAGGAGGATGTGGTATATATTGGTTGGGGTGCTTAAAGTTAGTAAAAATTGACTTAATTGATGTGCCTTTGCATGAGGAGATGAATTATAAATCTGTTTTTCACCTAGAGCATTCATCATATTTTGCTTGACCACATGCATCCCTTGCATGAACGACATCCTTCCATGTCCCGAGCACATGCATATTTATTGACATCCTAAATCCTAAAAACCTACAAAACCATTATAAAAGTTCACATAATCATAAATAAAATCATAAATTACATTAATAATTTGATATTATAATAAATATTGAAATAAAGAACAATAATAGAGCTCAATTGAGTTGTACTTTGTTGCATAACTTCTACCAGCATACATAAATGTCATTATTATTACTATAACTCGAGTTAAAAATTGATTAAAGTTCTACTTTGAAAGCAAAAGAAACACACATTATCTAACACGTTCAACTCCATGAATTGGAATTGAAGGTTGATCAAGCGAAGTTTGATTGAGTGAGGGTCATCCAAACCAAATTCTGTTGAGCCGATCAGAGGCACTGATCTGCGTCTCATTGTGACCTTATTCAAGGGAAGGTCATAGCATCGTTAGCTATCTCATCAAAGACCCAGAGGCTCTTCATCTGGGGTCGAGTGCTGGTCAAGACAAACTCAACAGAGCATCCTGAAGAATCCCACTTGGCAATGAGTGAACTGGCTGTCAGAATACTGTGATTTACTGGTCCTTGCCTGATAACCTAGTTTTACTCTGCGGGTGGGAGTTTTCCATCCAAGGATCAATGATCGACCACCGTAATAGCACAGCAGACCGACAAGGCAAACTTAAGCGAGTAAAGTCCTTCTGACTCGAAGATCATAGAAAGCCGACCAGCAACCCCGATTCAAGACAAGTTTTGACAAACCAAGGCCGACTATGTTCGGTCGACCGTGACAGAGGATGGCCAAACCAAAAGCTCATATAGGCAAAATACCTATAATAACTGATACAACCCGTACTAAAGCAGGCACACATATGTAGCTCTACATGTTGTATCTCATTTCTCTATAAATAAGGGATTATTGTACAAATAAATAATCACAAATCTCTTTTCAATTATTGTTCATTACTCTACATATTTCTCTCTCTCTATTCCCTTGATGCGGTCACGGACAGATTCATATTCAACACACAATTACTTCGTTAGGATAACCAATCACGATTAGCACCATATTATAGATTAATGGTGGAGTTGGTGTACCAATACAATTTCTATTTTGGCACTATACATTATTCCAATTACTCGCAGTCCATCAAAAAATAAAAAACAAAAAAAATAAAAAACACAATGTTTTTTAAGATAAGTCAAATGTTCCGCAGTTGGAACGTTCCATTCAACCTAATATAAACTAATATGATTAAAAAAAATTCAAAAATTAAATGGTCGTCAAATTTTGAGCACTTCCTTCCTTCACTAACTCTGGAGAAAAAGCCAAGGAAGACGAATCCTATAATTAAAATGCTAATACTGACAATGAAAAGCAGGCCTTCAAATAATAAAAAAAAAAATTAGAAGCCATATTTTAGATTAAATTTAAACAACTTTTTTGGGGCTATTTGACTGAATTTTTTTTAATTTTAAAAATTAAATTTCAATGAAAAATGAAATCATATATTTGAAATAGTTAAACATAGGTGATTGAGTATAAAATAAATTCATTATTATTTTTATATGATTTAAAATAAAATAAATTTAGTAAATACCTCATTGCCATTGCCAGAGGCATCATAGGCAACATCATCCGCCAGAGATATTAGGCGGCAGTAGCAATGACTTAGTTCCTTACATTCTCAACAAATTGCAGTTGAAAGATGTATTTTCCCACCAGATCTGACTGCATGCGGTGGCCGCTAGAAAGCTACAATCTGACTTTTTCAAAAAGAAATTTTTTTTTTTGATAGCTATCATAACTTTTCAAATATTTCTTTAAATAGTTGCAGATGTATTCTAAAATTAATAAATTTGTCTGGTTTTAAAATAAATTATAAATAGGAATAATTAAGGTTACTAAAAAACATATGCAATATAAAAAAGAATACAATGTATTTTTAATATAAGATATTTTAAATATTTTAGAGTTATTTGATTTGATGTAAAATAAACATAAGAATTTATTTTTTGTGTTGAATTTAAAGTGAAACAATGTAAAATTCGATAATGGATGGTTAATGATAGTGATTGGTGGTGGTGGTCTTGGGGCAAGACCCGGAATCAGCATCAACTAGAGGTGGAAGGTGAACAGGCGGCGAGCGGCCACCACCGACGGGCAATGGGCGATGGCAGCCACGTCCTTGACAGATTTCTATGCTGTTCTTGAAATATGTAGATTCTGATATATTTGGAAATATCTTAAACATGAACTAGACTTTGTTGAATTTATTAAAATTTTAATCTCCATCATTTTCTCATATAATAAAACACTAAACTTTCTAAACTTCATGAATTCCAAATTCTACCCAATTTGCAGCAAATCAAACGTCTCCTGAGTGATGGGTGTTAAATTCCCCAAACTTTGACTTTGAATATGTTTTTCATTCCATCATTTCTGAAACCCTAAACCCTAAACTAATCTAAAAAAAATAAAAAATAAAAACCTGTTTTTGAGCTAATTTACGCTCAAAACTTTTTCAACCAGATAACCCGTTAAAATATACAATACTTCTCTTAAATTACATGATTATGCTGTTTTATTTCTAAAATTCACCCAATATAAATATAAATAATAAAACTTATAAGATATATTATTTCTCACATATTTTAAGACTACGTGTCGTCCATCTTAACTGTCATGTTTAAATATTGATATTCTGAGTCAGATTTTTTTAGCAAATAATAGTACCGAAAATACGACACTAATTCATGATATGTTATATATATATTAAGAATAAACCAATTAATTTTTTTTTATATTTTCAATATGAATGCATCATATACTCGCTAAGTTGAACTTATCAATAATATTTTTTAGTATCGCAATTTTAATATAATTTACTACAAATTAAATCGCGCATCATTATTTTTTTAACTAATAAGCAAATTTCCCAACAAAAAATTGCCTGGCTTTCCCCTTGTTTTAATTCAAAACATAAGAAATAACTATTAAATCATTTTTATTTAAATTTATTTCTCCATAAAATCATACATCGTTCAAATGGCAGCCTCCCAAGAAGACCCATTGTCACGTGGACTTCTTCCCCCTCGCCGCGCAGTCCACGATTCATCCCACGCGCACCCCCCATCCCCTTATAAAACCCGCCAATCCCCTCTTTCCCCGCCCGCAAAGCAGAAGCTCCAACCCCCTCCCGCTCTTCTTCTCATTCAGCGCACCATGGATGAATCCGAAATACAAATTCCCTCTTTCTTTCTCTGCCCCGTATCCCTCCAAATCATGCGAGATCCCGTCACTCTGCCCACCGGCATCACCTACGACCGCGAAAGCATCGAACACTGGCTCTACTCCGCCAACCAGAACACCTGCCCTGTAACCAAACAACACATCTCCGACTTCGATAATCTAACCCCCAACCACACCCTCCGCCGCCTCATCCAATCCTGGTGCACCGCAAACGCCTCCAGCGGCATCGAACGCTTCCCTACCCCCCGCCCTCCCATCACCAAACCCCAAATCTCCGCTCTCCTCGACGAATCCACCCGCCTCCCTAACTCTCTGCTTTCCTCCCTTGCCAAACTCAAGAGAATTGTCTCCGAAAGCGAGCGCAATAAACGCTGCGTTGAGGCCACTCCCGGAGCCATCGATTTTCTCGCCTCCATCATCTCAAACCTCTCTACCGAAAACGAAGACGAATTTGCAAGCGATGAAGCCGTAAGCATTCTCTACTCTCTCCAACTCTCCCAACAAAGCCTCCGCGATTTGCAGGAACGAAACCAAGACTTAATTAAGTCTTTGACCGCCATCCTTCGTCGCTCTGCCAATTATCAAACTCGAGCCCATGCGGTTCTGCTCATCAAGGCGCTCATCGGTGTAGTTCCCCCCTCAAGATTAATTAGCGTTGGACAAGAGTTCTTTGAAGAGATAGTAAAGGTTTTAAGAGACCGCATCTCTTACCAAGCCATGAAAGCCGCGCTGCAGGTGCTATACGGGGTGTGCCCGTGGGGGCGGAACGTCGTGAAAGCGGTGAAAGCAGGGGCGGTCAAAGTGGTGGTCGAGCTGCTTCTCGACGAGCCGGAGAAAAGGGCATGCGAGATGATGATGGTTGTTCTTGACGAGCTTTGCGGCTGCGCGGATGGAAGGAAGGAGGTGGTCGGGCATGCCGCCGGTCTGGCGGTGGTCTCTAAGAACATGGTGAGGGTGTCAGCGGTGGCAACGGCGAGGGCGGTGAGTCTGGTGTATTCTATATCGAACCAGGCGGCGCCGGCGGTGGTGGAAGAGATGCTGCAAGTGGGTATTGTTTCCAAGCTTTGTTTGTTGCTTCAGGTGGAGTGTGAGAAGAGTACGAGGAAGATGGTGAAGGATGTTTTGAGCATGCATCTTAATGTTTGGAGACGATCGCCTTGTTTGACAACTCGGCTCAAGGATTTTGATCCATATCATTCATGACAATACTTTGAAAAGAGTGGAAGTTTAGAGAAAATTCAGGGAAATAATGAAGGATGATTTGAATATATGCATGACGGCAATACCGGCTCAAGTTCTCTGTTTTTACATATCTAATGCCCAAATTTTAATTTTTACATGTGGGCAATCTTATAGATGCATAAAAAAGTAGTATTTCATTTGTTAAGAATAAAGAAAATGGTTGCAATTTTAAGTGATATTCTCCTAAAAAATTTTTAATGTGATATGAAAGATTTGGGATATATAAATATAACATGTGAGCTTTAGGTGCTACATATGTGTAATTACATAAGAATTGGGTGGTACGTGAATTATATATCAAAGTGTATGTTTATAATTTTATTAATTTTTGTTTAATTAATTTGGTGAATTTTAGGACAACTAATCATGATTTGATAACAGCTACTTCTGATGCCCACGTTGTCATAATATGCATGCATCAATTACGACCGGCCGGCCGGCCGGCCTTAAATAGACCAATTGAATTTCGATATATACCATGTATACAGGATTTTGTGATATGGTAATTGAGGATAAAATTTCTTATCGTGAAACCACGAATTCTAACTTGTATTTTATTCATCGAAAATAGACATGTGCAAAGATAAGAAAGAGAATCTGGTGAGAAAAATGATAAATTAATTACAAGGACACATTACATATATCAGAATAAAAGGGAAAAATTGTAAACCATACATGTGCTGGACGTCGAATATGGAGAACAATTAGAAGAGCACTTCATGATTTTGCTGCGAATAATTTTTCTTTATTAGGGATGTGTTGAGGATGGAGAGCACGTGAAGAAACCATGGCGATCAAGATGTTCTTCTGCGCGGCTTAATTATGCCAAATCTGTGTAGTTAAGCTGATACAAAAGCTACCAAATTGGGTAACTATGCCCACGGAGGCATAGCAATACCGCATTGGCTTCTTTCCAATGATCCCGGATAGTTTATTCTGTTACGGTCCTTAAGTTTGCAATTTTGAGTCACGAAAGGTAATATCTTGTGGGCGGTTTTTTGACAAGATTTTTGGGAAGCAGAGAAGGGTTGAAGAGGAGGACTTCAGCGAATGTTTTGTTTTGTAAGAATGAGATAAAGAGCTGGAGCAAAGTCCAACAGGTTGGTTCTATTGATTCTTGAGAGAAGATCTGAGTGAGCAATTATGTATATTTCTTCTTGTTTATAGTGAATAGTTTTTGGTGGTCTGATTCTGAAGTTTTTTAATGTTCTCGGATTTTTTTCACATAAATCTTGGTGTGTTCTTTCTGAGATTATTTTTGTTGTGTTTCTGTTTGATTTATTTATTCTAGATTTCTCGATTTTTTCATGATCATATTTGATGGTGTGGTTTTGATTTCTAATTGATTTAAGCCTTAAGCATATTTCATCCCAACAAGCGATATTAGAGTGGGTTCTTTGATTTAAGTTGGAACAGTGGTTAATGAAGTAAGGTATAAAGTGGAGAAGTTCAATGGATCGAATTTCACATTCTGGAGGATGCAACTAGAGGATGTGTTGTATCTGAAAACATTATATTTACAATTAAATCACTAAGAAGTTATAAAGTGGAGTTCAATGGATCAAACTTCACATTCTCAAGGACGCAAGTAGAGGATTTATTGTATCTAAAAAAATATACCTACAACTAATTCACTAAGAAGTCCGACTCTATGACTACGAAAGAATGTGATGTGTTGAATCTAATAGCCATAGATATGATTAGTTTATCAATTTTCTCGTCAATTGCATTCAATAGTGAATGAAAAAAATTAAGATAGATCTTATGACGACATTGACAAAGATGTATGAAAAATCTTCGACTTCAAAAAAGATTTTTATGATGAAGAGGATATTTACCATGAAGATAATGAAAAAAAGTTTAGCAGCAGAATATCTAAATAATTTTAACACAATAACGAGTCAGTTTTGTTCTGCAGAGATCAAATTTGTTAATGAAGACAGAGCACTACTAATTTTGCTTTCATTGCATGGTAGTTGTGATGGTTTGGTCACAATAGTGAGTAAGTCTATAAGGAATATGAAATTGAACTTTAATGATATTGTGGAATTGGTGTTAAATGAAAAAATTTGCAGAAAGACAGTGAATGGTGAATTTTTATGTTCTAGTTTGAGTTTCAAAAGTAGAGGAAGGAACCTGCACCGGAATATGGGAAGAGAGATTTAAGTCGAGAAGTAGAAAATCTAATTCAAGCAAAGGAAATGATAGAGGAGATTGCAAAAACTTGGAAAAAAATGGCATTTCAAGAAATGCAATAATGGTCCAAGGAAAGCTGGTGGTGGAGGATAAGAAATAAATCTCTATAGAAATGCCTCCACAGCCAAAATTCAAGGTGACTCCCAGGTTTTATCCATAATCAGCACTGAATTTTTTATAGTTGAATCAAGTGTCTAACACATGCCCCAGTAAAGAGATATTCAAAAAATATACTAAGAGTTATCTAGGGAAGATTTATCTAGAGTAGCTTGAAAGTTTTTTGAGGCCAAGTCTAAAGAGAAATCTCATCTCTATGAGCTAGCTGAAAAAATCAAAATTTGTGACTTTTCATAGATGGCTCATGGAAGGTGGCCATGGGAAATGATGATAACTTGGTACAACATTTAAGCACTTTTTACTAAATCCATGCAATGGTAGAATTTATTGCTTTTTCGGGAACCAAGGTGGATCCAAGTCCATGGCATTGTAGGCTTGACCATATGAGCAAAAAAGGAATGAAGTCCAAACTTTATCAAAATAAGCTTTATGTTTGAAATCTATAGATTTAGATTTCAGTGAAGATTGTATATATAAAAATTAGAAGAAAGTTTCTTTCTTTATAAGTAGTTTAGTGGTGAAGTCAAAGAATCTAAAGTTAGTGCATATTGATATATGAGGTACCTTTTAGTCTATTGAAGGTTCTCACTATTTTGTCATGTTTATTGATCATCACATTGGAAAAATGTGAGTTTACTTCTTAAGTTAAAATTTTAAAGTATTTGAAATAACTGAAGTGTTTTAGAGCTGAAAGGTCATAGTAGAAAATGATATAGACTTGATGTTGAAATGTCTCAAATCAGATAATTAAGGTAATTTTTTTGATCAGAAGTTCAAGAATTTTTGTGTTATAGAGGTGATCAAGCATAATTTCATAGTTCCAATAACACTACAACATAATAGAGTAGTTGAGCACATGAACGGACAATCATGGAGCATGCATAAGAATGCGACTGCCGGCAGACTTGTCAAAATAGTTTTTGGTTGAAGCAATAAATACTGTTGTTTATTTAATTTACCAGGTTCCACATATATCATCGAAGAAGTGCATATCTAAAGAAGTCTGGTTTGACAAGTAGGTAAATTTATCTCTTTTAAAATAATTTGATTGTTATGCATATATTCATGTCGATGTAGAGTCCAAGAGTAAGCATGACTATAAATCTATCAAGTGCAATTTCATTGGATATGACTTAAATGAGTTTGAGTATAAGTTCTAAGACTATCAAAATGAGAAATTCATCAGGAGTGGGGATGTCACATTCAATGAAATGGAGACGGCAGAGATAGAAGTATAACTCAAGATTTTTCATCAGTTACCACTAAAGAGTCTAAGTATGTTGAGATAGAAGACACTAGTGATCTTGAGGGTGGAAAAGAAAGATGTGCTTAAGTAGATGGAGCACATGAAGTTCCTCAGTTACCTACCACTGAAGTCAGAAAATCCAACAAAGTGATATAACAGGTACACATGTATTCTCCTTTGTTACACTATTTATTTCTAACTAATAGTAATGAACCAGAGTGCTTTGAGGAGACCACTCAAGTTAGGGATTCAAGAGAGTGGGAGATTGTCATGGATAATAAAATTTAGACTTTGAAGTTAAATTGGGTCTAAGATTTGATAATACTATTACATGAAGAAAGAGCATTATTCGATAAGTGGGTCTATAGAATGAAAGAGGAGTTAGATGACAGGAGTTGTTATAAGACAAGACTTGTTGTGAATGAGTTCCAATAGAAGTAAGGAGTGCACTACATTGAGTTTTTTCTCTCGTGGTGAAGATGAAAACTGTCAGAGTTGTACTCAGTCTGCTAGAGGAGGAAGATCTGCATCTGGTGCAAATGGATGTAAAAATTTCTTTCTTACATAGAGATGTACAGGATGAGTTGTATATGGTACAACCACAGGGTTATAATATTCTAGGAAAATAATGTTTGGTTTGCATGTTAAAGAAGACCCTCTATGGTTTAAAGTAGGCTCTGAGATAGTGTTATAGGTGGTTTGACAATTTCATGTCAGACAGTGAGCACATGAAGTGCTAGATGGTATACTGACTATAGAGGCAGAAGTGGAGAAAAATAGGGACTTAAAAGAAACAATTACTTGGTGAGTTTGAGATGAAAGATTTAGGTCCAACTAGAAACATTCTCAGAATGAAAATAAGTATGGAAAATAGTGCATATACTCAGGTAGAGCATTTTGAGAAGATCATCCAAAGTCTTAATATGAGGGAGGCAAAACCAGTTTAGACCCGCTTTAAGTGTTCTCTTAAAACTGTCTAAGGAATTATCTTCTTAGTATGAAGTAGAGTAAGCACAGATGAAGAGAACTCTATATTCTTAACTGTTGGAATTCTGATATATGTTTTGATTTGTACAAGAATAAATATTTCATATGCAGTGGGCTTGTTTTGTAGGTACATTAGTGATCTTATAAATCATCATTGAGTGGCATTGAATTGGATTCTTAAGTATTTGAGGTGAATAATCAACATGACATTTTACTATAGAAGTTTAGTGATTTGTCAACATGGATTTGTAGATGCAAAGCCTACAAAATATTTTGATGGTAGAAGGAGTACAGCAAGGTATGTCTTCATTTTGAGGAACACAATGGTGAGTTGGGTTATCAGGCTACCAAAGATTGTTGAACTTTCAACTATGGAGGCTAAGTACATTGCCATCACTAAGGCAATCAAGAAGATGATTTGGTTATAGAGCTTTGTATAATAATTGGGGAAGGAGAAAGTGATTGAAAGCTTCCTAGAGACAATATGAGTAATTCATTTTTTAAGAGCATCGTTTTTCATGTCAGGATAAAATACATTCATCTAAAATACCACTTTATATTCTCTCTTGTTGAGGATAGACAATTCTTTGTTGGAATATATACACAACTCAAAATTCAGTAGACA